GGGGGGGGGGGGGGGGGGGGGTGTTGTTTTGGTTTTTGTTGTTTGTTGATTTTTGGGTGGGGGTTTTGTGTTTTTGTTTTGTTTTTTTGTTTGGTTTTTTTTTTTAAACCTAGGGGACCACGGTACAGCGATACGTCACTCAATTACTACCTTATGATTGACAGTTCACACTGGAATCAAAGGTGAATTCATGGGAGTAGAGGTGAGATATCGTTAGGCAAGTCTACAAAGAGAGATAGATGGGCATTTATTCATCACGCTGAAGTGAAACTACTGCACAATATAATTACATTAACAGTATATATTTACTTGTAAGTTACATGTAATGCATCTCCAATAAGATAAATCATGAGGGCTCCAGGGATGTTAGTTTACAGTTCAGCAGTAGTTTCATGAATAATGCTAAATTAAGGTAAACAGTACCTCACTGACACATTTTTCTCACCTTCTTGTAAGGAGCCTCAAGCATTGCTTCAATATCAATATCATCAGCCATTTTTCAGGACACCTGAAAGAAGAAACAAAATCCACCTGAGACAGAAAACACCCTTGTGGCTTTATATTCCAAAGGTTTTTGCTTAAGAGGCCATCACTGCATTGGCTCAAAAATCACAGAGCAGTCTCTCAGAAGACATTTCCAACAAGAACTGGAATGAAGCTCTGCCCAGTGAGATGATAAAAGAATGTGACACAAAGCAATTATAGCGGTGAACAACAAAATGCTATTGAACACAATTAGCCAGTGGAAGCCCGAGAGATATTCCACCTATTTCTTTCAAAACAAAGAGCACAGAACATGTATGATAGAGAAACAGAGATCTGGTGGCCATCTTGAAAAGTACTAGAACTTGACCAAAGGACCCAAGAGAGATATGTAAAGAAAACAGAACAAACATTCAGGCAAACCTGTTCACAGCTTCCTGGGATTTACAATCATCATATTTACTAATCTGAAAACATAAGGTGAACACTATGGTCTTTTGAAAAATGCAGCCTCCTGCAACATGGGGGCCATGAAGAAAGGGTTATGATTCAAGCAGCAATATCTACTAAAGCATACACAGGAGTCATCCAATCTGGAACTTCAGGTTTCAGACAAAAAAGATACACCTTACCATGTAACACTAGTCACCACAAACCTCTTTAAATCGCTCCTCTAATTTTTCAACTTCAATTGCATGTTCATTACACCCCGAATCCCTCTGATGTTTGATTTCCTTTCCCCATAGAGGTGCGCTATTAAGAACCTCTCAAGACTCTCTGCATTAAAGGATGGAGACTGAACTTCCTCAAATCTCTTTAATGTAACAGTTTCTCCATTTTCTTTCTTAAGCTCAAAAATGGCCAGGCCTCTAGATCCAAGTCAGACAGCCCAAGACTGAAGATTTTCCTGCATGTGTAGGAATGTTTTATTCATACAGGTTAATTCTTGCACCTTGGTTACAGGTATTGCTGCAGGAACTGCGTGGTCCAGAGACTTGGCCAGCATAATGAAATTGCTCCAACATTTCAAGATCCCTAAAGTTGTTTGCTCATAACCTCATACCTGAGAATATTATACCAAAGCTGCACCACAAGTAAGAATTAAGTCACTTCCCCACCCACCTCTGACAATCATCTGTTAATACAATCAAGAATAAAACATAATCCTTTAGCAATATCTCAGCACTGGAAGTTCTTAATTACTTCACCAAGACACGCTCACCTAATTTTCAACTTATTACCTCTTGGGCTATAGTGCTATCACAAATATAATCATCCTTAGTTTATGTGTAACGGTTACTAGAGTATTTACATTCAACTTTGAGTCATCTACATACATACATACGATTTAATTCACTCCTGCACTTGGTATGAACATCAGTATGATTGAGGACCATGAAAAAGCACTATGCCAAACCTGGGTTCTACAACAAAATTCCCACCCACAATTATATTTTCATATATGTAATTTAGCCAACACATTCGGCTATATCTGGGTTGGATTCTTCATTCTGAAGAGAGGTAGCCGGAGGGGAGGGGGAATGCAGGCGACAATAGGGACCCATCAAATCATGGAGTAGTGAATAGGGAATGACATTCACTCAAATAATAAGGGTGAATGAACTATCACCCGGTGGGTTCAAAACAAAGGTCTTTAAGCACACAGCGTTTAGCCACGGAATGCACTGTTACAGAGTACTGTGGATGCTCCAACAAAGAAAAACACACATGCAGTGTTCAAAAAAACCCCAAAACAAAACAGCACAAAAGTTTACAGAAAAAGCTTTTCATTAAACAAAGCCATGCCTTGTGATCCTGAACCACAACTAGCTGACAACTAAGAGCACAGAAAGAAGCATCGTTGTATGACTGTCCTGTGTTTTTGTTCTTTCTTAGTCATTTACTGTTGGCCAACGCCACAGACAAGATCTTGAGTTACGTGGACCTTCAGTCTCACCCCATGATATCTGTGCCCTTTGTACTCTGTACAAAACACTTTCATTGGTATAACAACATGTTTTTATCAGAATACCTTCTGTTCAAACAACACAGACCTACTATTGACTTTGCAATTCACATGTAATGCACATACTCCACGTAACTCACACGTAATGCATATACTCCTTATAAAGTTATTCTTCTTAAAAAGTATCATGAGTCCTTATTAATTTCAAATGAGTAGAAAAATCATGACAGATTTTTAAGTATCTTTCATTAAACACTGAAGAAGCTCAAAATTATTTTCATAAAAGCCTTTCAGCTTGCTCAAAAAGCTGCCTATGCCCAACATCTCTGCAGAGAAAAAAAAACACACACCAAACAAAAAAACCAACACGGCGAAAAACCACAAAACATCAAAACAGGAAAAGAACGCTACTTGAAACTTTGCAGATCTACAGAAAACCTAAAGGGACATAAACCTTATTGCTGCTAATCTAGCAAGTATTTTGAACGCAGATTCCATCTATTTTGCTGTATTATATTACATAAAAGGAGCTTAAACAGGTCCTCTCCTCAAAATTACTTGATTTTGTTTTGAAATTCCAAGAAATGACAACTCCACTCTCGCTTTGCAAGGAGTCTCCTGGAAAAACACCAAGAAAATCCAGGAAGAATGATGCTCCGGAAGCTCAGCTGAGCTCTCAGCAGCACACGCACCTCTGCCCAGCGGCTTCCCAACCGCGATCCTCCGCAACTTATCGACTCCGGGTTCTCCAACAGGCCGCCGCAGCAGAACCAACCCGCC